TGAGGCTGCAAGACATCAGGCCGAGAAGCTGGACGTCAGGCTGCAGAAGCGTCAGCGTGAACTGGCCAAGTTCACCGATGTGGTGCTGATGCGGAAACCCAGTGCGCCCGACCCCGCTGCGACCCCAACACTGAATTCAGGTTCGCCGCCGCACACGCACGCCTCAGACGAGGCGGCGAACGGCGGCGACGCGGAACAAAAACGCCCACGCCAACAAGAACTGCGATCGCTGGAAGTGTGTATAGTGAGAGTGTTTGTTTGTTTGTCTGCACCTCATTGAAAGTGCGCTATTTCCACGGTGCTTTTTATCTTTCGCTGTTGCCTATCCAACCCGTTCATCGTGGTTTTTGAACGTCATCAGATTAGCTCAAAACGGGAATGGGCTTCGCAATCATGTGGGGCCTTTTCAGGGGAACTAAGGTGACCTGAATTTAATTCCAGGCTGCAGGGGTGGCCTGATTTCATTTTTTCATCTAATAGGGGGTAACCTGAAATTCCGCGTGGTCTGAGAATTCATTTTGCTGTTTTCAGAAAGACCCTCGAAAAACTGATGCGCTCTCAAGGCTCTACGAGGNACGACGCACAACTTTGGTGTACAGTAATCTCGGTATACGGTACCTTTGGTATACGGTACCGTTGGCATACGGTAGCTATGGTATACGGTAACTGTGCTATACGGTAATTCTGGGCAGATGTGTGTGCTTTTTCGGTACAAAAGATCGCGTCAAGACGCAAAAGTGTACACAACGACCGAATTTTTCTGTGACTTTTTTGCAATAGCGCTGCTGTCTAGCGATATTCACGACAGCTCTATATCGTTACAGATGGCGTACAATGTATATGGAAATCTACGCAGAATTGGAGAAAGTCCGCAATATGCTTATTCTGCAGCACAATATCAATCAACAGCACTTGAATGAGGTACCCACCTACAAAACTTCGTATTCCACTCGTCCGATACCGTATCTCTCAATTCCAATACCGTATCCCGCCACCACTCCAATACCGTATCCCTCCACCACTCCAATACCGTATCCCTCCACCACTCCAATACCGTATCCCTCCACAACTCCAATACCGTATCCCTCCACCACTCCAATACCTTATCCCTCCACCACTTCAATACCGTATCCCTCCACCACTCCAATACCGTATCTCTCCACCACTCCAATACCGTATCTCTCAATTCCGATACCGTATCCTTTCACCACTCAAATACCGTATCCCTCCACCACTCCAACACCGTATCTTTGGCCTTGCGATACCGTAATACTTTCAGATCAAACTGCTGAACGAGAATTGTGC